ATTGTTTATACAAAAGTATCTGTATTTTTCTATAGTAATAAGAATTTATTTACTGAACTTTTTTACTCTAATAAATGTGAAAATCAGATTTCTGCTTTTGGTTAAATATGTTCTGTCAGTCTTTGAAAATTAACCAACAATTTTAAAATCTTGTGTGAACCAGATGATATTTTGACTTGGAAAACATGACTCAAACTGGCAGAAATCTGAAGGTTAGACTCTGGAATAGTTCATAACTTCAAAATGGGGAAGGTATAGGAATCCCTTATAACAGAATTTATTGCAAGTTTTTTATAAATTATATTATTACCAATATATATATTTACAAAACCAAAGCAGTCAGCTGCTGAATTAAACATATACGTGTATTTGTGTTCATCCTCTAAAGCTGGTGATTCATGTCTGTTTGTTCAGATCCTCATTCATTCAGAGTATTTTAAGGTGACCGGATAACTTTTTTTTTTTAATGCAAAACAAAGGAAAAATGTTAAGTGATTTAATTTAGTAAACTTWTAGGCAGATGAGTGTTTTTGGCAGGGGTTGGACTGGCAGGTAATGGAAACGTTGGGGGAAGTGGCAGCCATTGTGAGTTTCCTGCATTAGTTTTTAGAGACCAGGAGAGGGGGCTCAAAGATTTCTCTTCAGCTTTTATCTGCAGTCTGGATTCTTGGGAAAACGTTGGCCAGGGTCAGTGATTGGTAAAAACATCCAGTTTAAAGTTTGTAATGAAATACTTCTCATCTGTGTTGTGTCCTGGATGTGGATTTTTTTAGATTAAATCCTGAAATCCTCCCATCAGAGGGCCGTCCACTCCTGGGTTTTGCCAACAGTTTAATGTTGTCATCAGCATTTTTCCTGTTTTCCATTTGCATTGTTCTTACTCTTTTGAACCTATTAAACTGAGACATTTTTTCTTGCCTGGTTGTCACCAATTTAAATAATCTTGTCACTTTTCGGCTGGAGCAACAATAGTTTTACATTCAGTTTAGAGTCTTTGTTAGTAAAATGTCTTGTGAACCACTGAACTGATTTTATTGAAACTTTTAGGAAACAATATTTGAATGTTTCTCTACAACTGATTACCTATTGGTGCCAACCATAGACTTAAATATAAATATGACTAGACTGAGCCCCGCCCATCCTGTCCACAGGTAGTGTCTGTGACATCATGGAGGAGCAGAACCAGACCAAACAGGAC